CCAGCTCTTACACTTGGCTCTTCAGGAAGACCTGCAGAACTAAAACCTTGTCCATCAGCCTTAGCATCCAGGCTCACCCAAGTTGTTATAGGATCTTGGGGTTGCTGGTGGCAAAGGAGGCACAAGGGCCAGAGATCCCAGACTGTGCTAGCGATTCTCAGAGGGCCCCCGAGGGCAACGCTGCATTGTTATGAGGTAGTGAGGAGTCCCTGGTCCTAAGTGAAAAAGTATACCTGCCCCCAGGCCTTTGGGGAAGGCTCTCAGCTTCTTCCTACCTGTCTGGTGGGTTTCTCTGGTTCGGGCCTTGAAGTTGCCTGAGGCTTTTGGCCTTGGGAATGTTCATCTTCTCCCTCAACTCACCTAGATCCCTTGGGAGTCAGAGTGGGCAACGCAATTACTGTGGAAGGCAGGCTACCCACCCCTGCACAGAGAGAAGCCAGCCTTTCTTTCCCCGTGGAAAAGCTGCACTAGAACATGTTCTGAGTCTGTCAAGAAAGGCTCAGGGTTGCACCTGCAGCTCAAGACTCAGACTCTCCTCTCCCCAAGTCTCTTTCCTGGACTTCCTATGTGGCCCTTCTGTATGCTGGACACGGTTTCTAATCTGAAAATGTGATTTAAAATTTTAAACGTTGGACATTTAGAATTGTAGGGTCTTCTAAACAAAATGCAAGTCACCATTCTAGCCTCAGAAGTACCTTCACCGTCCCTCCTGGGCCACCTGGTAGGGGGCACGTGCTCCCCTCATGGACACAAAGGGCATTCCTCCAGGCCCACTCCCTCAGGCTCTTCCTGCTTTCCTCTTACCCAGCCCCACCCCCGACTCAGATGTAAGTCTGCCAAGTTATGCTCATGATGCCCCTAAGTCCGTATGACCAGCTTCTGCAGCCTCTGCCCCTCCAGGACCCCTCCCCTGGATGGCCTCACACCTTGGCCCTTGACTCACTCTCTGTCCTCTCCCTGGGCAAGAATCTGCGTGCCCACTCACCCCATCTTCACCCTTCCAGGTGCCTCTGCCCCTGTGAGCAGCCACCCCAAGGGTACCAAATGGTCTGACCCTCCCCTGCCATATTTGGCCCAGTGGTAGCAGGCTACTCACACCCCACCTACACACTCAAGAGCCGACGTCTGTCTGTGAGGTCTGGGTCCAGGGAGCAGGAAAAGCTGAGAAGCTCTGACTTCTAGGAGACCACCCAAGATGAGAAGCGCCAGCTTCCTGTAGGGTAAGAGTGCCAGGGGTGGGAGAGCACAGGGCTAACATCCAGCTCAGACTCTGGGGAGGGCGGACAGGGAGGGCCTCCCAAAAGACCGGTTGTGGTATTTAGGTGGGGGTACAGGCAGGAGGCAGAATGAGCAGTTGGTACTTTGAAGCGCTGTGGTGGGATCAGGGATTGGACTGCAAGGCTGTGGCGAGGCTGGGGGCAGCAGGCACGCCAGAGTGCAGTGGAGGGCTATGAGAAACACCCATGGGCCCCCTCACATGCAGACAGCCCGGCGCCAGTGAGCACAGGGCGGGACTACAGGAGGGAACCACATCAGCTCAGAGTGGCAGGGTAAGGCCAAATACAAATCAACAGCCAGACAGGACAGTGAGTGAATTTGAAATCAAGAGCAGCAAGTCTTTTACACAACTGGACACTAGTGCAGGGGTTTAAACCCTAGGTTTAAAAATGTGACAGGGGCACGTCTAGTGGCAGAGCACCTGCCTAGCATGTGTTCACCCCAGATTTGAACCTTCGCAACACACACACAGTGACAGAGAGCACGGAGGAGCCCTGGACTTCCAGCTGAGGAGATGCCACTCAGTGAGCATAGCGCAGGGAGCCTGGGTCGAGGTCCAGCAGACCCTTCCCTAGGTCAGCGCAGTGGCCTAGGGCAGGATGGCAGGGGTCTGTATAACCAGTCTGGCGTATAAAGGACAGACTCTGCTCCCCACATCCTTTAAGGAGTCAATGAGACAGGCCTTCATTTCTTATAAATTTATTACATAATAATATTATAATTATTATCAATAATAATAATAATATAAGAAACATAGATCTCTGTGGGGTGTATCACAACGTCAGGGTCAGGAGGCCTCAGGACTGGAGCAGGGGGTGAAAGCCCCTGGATGGAACTCCATACAAAAGGAGGGGTGAAGCAGAACTGACCCTGTAAAGTTAAAAACCCAAACTGAACAGAACCAAAAACCCACAGGCGAGTGTGAGACTGTGTATGTAGCAGTCTGTTACAGTGACTGCTGTGTGTGACCTGGTCTATTGGTGAGAGGGTTAGTGGGCATGACTGTGCCCAGGGAATTGGGCCAGTGGGCCAGGTGGGCACAGACCGGCATGCCAGGCCCCTGGGCTATGAAAACTTCTGTTTTCGGTCTTTTTTTTCTTTTATTAAAAAAAGCTAGAAATATAAACAGAAACTTGTGAGTGACGTGGATGGAGCTTAGTCCAGACTCCAAACCCTAGGTTTAAAAATGTCCCAGGGCCCCCCACCCCACAGGTCATTGCTGAGTGTGAGGAGTCACAGTAGGGGGGCTGGGGCACGGGAGGGGGGGGCCTCTGACTCTCCTCAGGGCCTGTGGTGGCCTGACTGTAGGAGTTCCCCATGATCCCTTCTGAAGCCCAGAGGGGGGCACCGCCTCCAGGGGGCCCTGGGGGCCTCCCCAAGCGGCAAGGACCTCCCCAAAGAATCCCACTCAGACTGGGGAGGCTCTGGAAGGGCAGGTGGGCAAACAGCAGGACCAGGGCAGGATGCCTCTGACTTTCTTTGGAAGAGGAGACAGGGTGCTTCACAGACACACCCACACACACACCCCACCATCCATAGCCCCACGAAGATCAGAACAGCCCCTCGGGGCCCCACACGACCAGGCACACACAGGGCTCCCAGGAGCTCCGCTGCACCCAGGTTCTACTTTGGGCACACAGGGCTGCACACACACAGCGCGGGGACAGGAGACTTCAGGCGGGCGCTGGGAGGCTTCTCTGCTGTAGTTGCCCAAGAACGTGGGGAGGAGGCTGGAGCGCCCCCAGCCGGGGAAAGACCCTGTGAGGAAGATGGCTGGGGGTGAGTGCCAGGGCCCAGCCCCAGCCCCGGGCGATGGACTCCC